GAGGGGGCGGGGGCGAGGGCGGGGGCGGGGGCCGAGATCGGTCGTGGTGGTGGCGGTGGCAGAAGCGGCGCGTCGGTGGCGTATCAGCCAACCGGTGGGGTAGTGCTCGAGTTTCACAACTACGAGGTGAATCATTATTTTTCTTTGAGCCATCAACTGGGACGGGGAAGAGCGAAGACAGAGTCATGTTGATCAAAATCCGCCCCATGACGACCCGCCATCGAGCTACTGTCTGTCTTTCTTTCGCATGATGGTTGAGATCCGGACACGACCGACTGTGCATGCATTGTTCCTTGTGTGGGCGGCTTTCCTGCCTTCTTCTGTCCGTCCTCATCGGTGTGCGAAGGTCCGTAGTTTCTGAAACACGCCGGTTGTACCTCAACCGTTGTTCCCTCTCGGCGGCGTATTATTGCCGTAGTCGTACTCGGTGTCGCGTTCTCCTTCTCAAACAAAAACCTTCGCCGCGATCCTCGTTCTTCTTTGCTGCTGCCTGGTGATCCTTTGTTCTTGTGGTGCCGGCTCCGCTACGGGCTCTCGATCTCTCGGGTGCTCTCCTCGGCGATGACTGCGGCGACAACAACGACACGGAAGGTTAAGCCCGACGACGTGCTGGTGGAGCAAGGGCGACACGCCGTCAGCGTCCAAGAGATGCTCATGCGGCCAGTCTTCTGGCCCTTCTCCGGCCAGGTTTTTGTGTTAGAATTCGGGAATGGAAATTCCACAACTCAGTGAAGACCGCTGACGGGTGACCGCTTTGTTGTGGTAGCATATATCCGGAGTACGATGGATGCATATCGATACAACAAGTGTTTCTCGAACTCTCCATAGAGTGCCTGTGACTTTCGGCGAACCTTAGCACAAGTGCCAGCTTACGTTCGTCGCCCCCTCCACACAAAAAACCGTTCTTGATTTGTTGTTGAAAGAAAGTGGGCATCTCTATGTCTCCATCTCTCTCCGCCCTCTTCCCTTGCCCAAACCAATCCCTGGAGCGCCTCACTGGGCCGGGTACTTGTTTGCACCACCTTGCGTGCCTGTGACAATGGGGAAAGGTCCCTTCCCTGCTCCGAGGATATGCTAGAGGGGGTCCACGATATGCGCTCGGACCCCCGACTGTCAGACAAAAACACATATTTCTACCTCCGCTTCCATTTGTCTCTGTCAGCTGATATCGCCCTCGCCCGCAAGGACAAGAGCGATGGAGCTTCGTCTTGTGTCTCACAGCCCGCCCCCCGGTCCCTTCCCGCACACGACTTTAGGGCGACGAGGTGTGCAGGGCGGTATGGATGCGGGACACGGGAGCAAGGCCCTACCCCCGCCTCAGGAAGAGGAGAGGCACAAGCGGGGCGGCAGCAGCAGCAGCAACAACAGCAACAGGTGGCGTGGGGAAAGACGCGCAGGAGAATCACAAAGACGGAGAAACCGGCGTAGACGAGAATGACGACGAAGGGCCCATGGGCCTCGAGCCATACCCGCTGCGAGCTGCGGCTATTCTGGAAGACGCGTATCGGTTCCTCGCCTGGTACTTGGAGTGCCGGAAGGGAGGCGGGCCTCCCCCTGGAGCTCGATCGTCGGGCGAGGTGGGGGGTAAGGGTGCTGGAGGAAAGCGGAGTGGCGGCGAGTCTTTATCGCCGACTGTTCTACTTACCGTACAGGTGTGCGCTGCCGGTATTTCCCTTAGATTGTTGTTGTTGTTGTTGTTGTTGATGTTGATATGACACCGTCGCGGTTCTACCTTTGTGTTCCACTAGACGGCGAATGTTTTTTGCCTAATTCTTGTTGCAGACGATTAGCCTGAAACGTAAAAAAAACTCCTACCACGTTTGCACCGAGCGATCAATTGGTTGCTCCTGACCCATGCCTTTGTCGTCGCTGCTGATTCTGCTGCTGCTGCTGCTGTCGCTACTGCGGCTGCTGCCGCGGCTGTTGTTTGGGTTGCCGTTGCGGCTGCTGCTGCTGGCACACACAGGTCGCCGACGAGCTCGTACAATTCCGCTCCATCACCGACATCGTCTCCGTCAAGCGCAACCTGGGCAGCGCCTTCTCCCTCTTCGGCCGCCGCCGCGTGTTCAGGGGAGTCCCCGTAGAGGAGGAAGGGGAAAATGAAGAGGGGGGGGACGGGGACGAAGGAGAACGCGAGAAGAGGGAAGAGGACGGGACCGAAACCGGGCGCAACGATGACGACGACGGCGCCCCGCCGTACCCGGACCCTCCAACGTCGAGCGGGACGCCTTATGCCTCTGGTTCGGCGCTGGATGCGAGCGAACATCAGGCCGTCACCGGCTCTTCTACCGAATCTGAGCAAAGTCCATCGTTGGGCCCGACTCACGTTAGCGATTTCGCTCCCGGGGAGGGTGGTGGTGGGGAGGGGTCGAGAGTGAAACGAAACCCCTCCCCTTCCTGTTCTTCACAGTATGGTTGTGGAGCCGAGGGAGCCGATGAGGTAAAGAACATGCGCGGGAGGGTTGATTGTCAGCAGTGAGGGAGGGAGAGCGACGGGGGTGGTTAGATGTCTTCTATTGATGTCTGGTTTCACCGCCGTTGTTTGGCGATCGTCGCTTGTCGATGCGTCCTCGATGAACTCGTACAAACACCTGTGCAACAAAACAACCTCGCGTTTTCCATCCCATCCCCTTGCTAATCGTGAACGAAACGATGTTGCTGTCATGCAGCCGTTAGGGTCAGTGTACGAGTTGGTCCCACTGTCTGCCCGAGTCGGGTGCTAAGGGAGGAACGCAGACAGACAAACTCAGAACGTCGAATTCCCGATGGCGTACATATGGGTGACACACGTTTTGTGGTCAATCAACCCCATGTTGTAACACGAAGGTTGATTCGGACCTGGAGGAGAGGGTGGAGCACCTGGTGCTTGTCGTGCACGGTATCGGCGACGCGTTGATGTCGGTGGACCTGGGCATGGTCCAGCTGAGATCGCTGGTCGAGTGCTGCGACACCATGCGAGCACACCACGAGGAGGTGAGAGATTGTAAAGGAGCTAGCGTTCTGGTTTCTTGGGGGTGGGTGTTCATTTCGTGACGGCTGTAAGCTCCGTGGAGTTGGCACCATGGAGAAGGGTGGGCTTGGCGTGCGGGATGGATTTGGTTTTTGTGTGAGAAATACGGAGCTCGTCATTGCGCACAATACACGAGTTGATCAGCCGTGCGCCAGGTGCAAGAGGAGCCCTTGAAGTTCTGAACATCGACTCAGAAGATATAGCCGCTCACTCTGGCTGTCCGTTCAAGCGCTTGTTTTGTTCATCGAGGTCTATCCTACAGACAATAGCTTGGGTAGGCGTCCTTCCTCTGTGCGACTTGCACGGGGGGACGGTTGGAGGTTTTGGTGCAGAGAGGCTCTATCGCCTTCGTGGGGCGGGCCCTGTGTCGATGCCCGTTTCCATTCGAGACACGTCCTGAACGTTGCCACTGGACACATACCCGCGGGGCCGCTCTTGGCTCGTCTTCTTGGTTTGTTACATCTCCCATCTCGCTCGTGGTCGACACAGGACACCACCTGCACACAATGCGCGAGGGCTGTAGTGCTCATCTCAACTGTTTCCGTTTCCT